ATAGTATGGCTCGCGAGCCGGCTCGCGAGCCGCGAGCCAAGAATATTGGTGCTCGAATATGGCTCGATATCTTACCGAGCTGGCTCGAGTTCGGCTCGAGTTCGAGCATGACCGAACTCGAGTCGAGCGAAAACCGAGCAATCCTCGAGCGGCTCGCGAACGGCTTGGCTCGCGTGCACCCCTAACATGAACTATGAACTGAACTTGGGGCGCACGCGAATGGATGTGGAAGTTTACTTGGAGAACACGCGATGGATGTGTAGTACTTTTGCTAAATTAAAAGCATCCGTTACTACACAAAAAAATCTGATAAAGTTTGGGCAGTAAATCAGTTTTGAAATTTTAAAACACCACGTGTATTTTTTTATTTAAAAAATGGGAGTGACAAATTTAATTTGTTGTCATTTTGGAGTTATTATCTACTTACTTAATAATAAAGTGCAACCTTCATACTAATTGCTATTGAGTACAATTTATCAATTATCTAATTGCTATTGAGTACAATTGATGAGTTACTCCCTCCGTCCCATAATTATTTTCATTCTTTCCTTTTTAGTCCATCCCAAATTTATCTCCTCTTTCCCCTTTTAGCAAAGGATTTGTGGTTCACAACCATTCTTACACATTTCTCTCTCATCTGCACAACTTTCCGCCACACATTTCCACTTTCTTAATCTCCGTGCCCAGTCAAAACCGAAGTTAATTCTGGGACGGAGGGAGTATATATTTGCTATTAAGTACAAAAAAACGTTTCAACACGCATTCAATACTCATCAATAATGCCTTATTTTACATTCCATATACTACGTAAATTATACAAAGTATATTTATATCTCATTCCATATACAGTATAGTTTGAAATATGGAATATTACATATTCTACCTCATTCCAATCCAATTTTTGCAAAGGTAAGGTTAAATATATTTATGCATGTTAACGTAAACACATTAATATATTTGATCACAAAGTGCACAAATTCATGTACTACAAATTAATATAAGGACAAATTCCCGTCCACCATTCTCATGGACAACTTAAATCATTTTTAATATTTTGCTTCATATATCAAATTTACATTTTTTTATCAGGCTTTGTAGCGATTTTAATGTAGTTTCTGAATATATAAATTTTTATTAACTAAAAAATTCAGAGTGTGAACATGGATTAAGTTGTTTTATCGTCAGTCAAGCATCGTAAACCGTTCACATGAACCTTCTAACGGGATGGAGGGAGTACTTAATTCCATTGATTCCGTGTAAATGTGCAAATAGATGCAAAATTTGTTTATGTATAGAAAGTTTTTAAGAACAGATAATTCAACCACAAATTATTTTTCAAGGTACCAACAAAAAGTATAATTACAAAGATATAAAATATACCTGTGGTAAATTTTTTAAAACCATAAGCTCTTAAACCCACTGAATTATTCTACAAAGTATTATTTAAATACTTCATATCAACCTCAATTATATTTATCAAACAAAAATGTCTATCACGTCTATTCATATGTACAAATTAGAGCCACGCACACCTGCGCACACACATATATAATAAAAAATATTAAGACACGAGGTTCCATCCTAAAAGGTCAATCTGTTAGGAGTAGCTTGAAGCTTAATATAACACTCTAATGCTTCTCAATTTACCGGTGTGAGACTTTATCACCTCTCCTCACGACCAGACACTTCATCCGGATCGTGCCGTCATTCATTTTTTTCGTCATTTTCATTTTTTTTAATCATGTCGTCATTTTGCGTAAGGGGGCACACACCATAGATCGATTTGGCTTTGATACCATGTTAAGACACGAGGTTCCATTCTAAAAGGTCAACCTGTTAGGAGAAGTAGTCCGAACCTTAATATGACACTCTAAGGCTTCTCAATTTACCGGTTGGGACTTTATCACAAGTATATACATCCTACCGAATTAAAACTTCTAAGAAATTATAAGATATACTATCTGCATTTTGTATTATTACTATCTTTATTTTCTTTAATATATTTGTAAATATATTCGCCAATAATTAAAGATGTTTTTACTCAAACTGATTTTAGTCCCAAACCAGACTAGACTTAAACGGATCAGACCAGACTTGACTTCTGCAGTTATAAAATATACAGAGACCAAATGTTTACCAGACCAGACATAAACAGACTAGATCATAGCAGACCAGACTTAAATAAATCAGACCAGCAAATTGCAGTCCAAGTAAAAACATCTTAAGAATCCAGACTTTTATTCCCTAATACATTATAATAACTAATTGAAATGAGCAGAGGTAAATAATAATGACATATCATGCTTATGGAGGATTGTATGTTTCCGAAAAGTTCATTTTTTTATACTCCCCACATTCATTTTTAGTTATACCACATCCATTTTTACGTTTAATTTGCCAATGCTCCCTACTTTGGTTATTAATATATAATTCGTTGTAAGTAAAAATTTTAAAAAAAGGATTTTTGAAAAATCAAATTTAACGAATAAAGCAATATTTATAAAAAACTAATGCATTAATAAATACGATATAGTCAAAGTAGGGCATGCAACCCAACAGGGGCAGACCCAGGAAATTCATGTTGGGGGTTCAAAATATTTTTTGGAGTTAATAAATACTTGATGCAAATTCTCTTTTACGAATTATTACCACCTACTTAATAGCATATATCACCCTACGTTTTTGTTATAGTTTTTAATTTACTTTTAATTTTTTAATTTCATTATCTATTATATTCTCTTTTAATCCAGTTTTATCATATTCATTTGAAATTAATATTCTTTTTTAACATAGTTTTTAATTGATAGATAAAATAAATAAATTCCATTTTAGATCCTAATCCATCACATACAGGCTAAAAAAACTTATGTTATGAATATAAAAATAATGTATTTTAGTGTTGGGATATTATAAAAATAATATAGTGTAACCAAATCTTATATTTTATATTTTTTATAATAATAATGTAAGAGTTTTTATTAAATTTGTGGTGAGTTAGAGCCTATCATGATATTTATTTGTTTCTTATTTTATATAGTGTAGAGTTATTTTAAATTATTTTTAATTGAATATATCAAATGGCGTTGTATTATAATTTTGCATGTATCAAATTAAGCATTACTCATGTATCATACGGAGTATTCTCTAATTGTTTATGGAAATTATGGAAGGAGTAATGTATAATCCGTTTATGTTAAGTATACGTAGAGAAGAAAATGTATCAACAATTAAATTCAGTCCAGTGGCTTGGTAGTGAAGAGTTCCTAATGAAGGTTGTGGGTTCAAATTCTTGATACTCCATATTTTTTATATTTTAATAGCAACGGGATCGGAGTGAATATGATGCTTGATGACATGAAATGGCTAGAAGATGATTTGGAATAAGTGACAGTGGCGAAATGGGATGACATGGCAAAAACTACCTTACCTTGGGAAATAAGTTTAAAACTACCTTTATTTGGTAAATAAGTTTAGAGACTACCTCCCTTTGAGAAAAAACTCAAAAAAGCATGGGACTGATTTTGGGAGGGAGGGAGTAAAATGAATTTGTCGCAACCCAAGAAAGTAGGATTCGGCGATACCAATTAATACAAAGTACTCCGCACTTCAGTTCGGGCAAAACATTGCACCACTAAGAGCCCGTTTGGAGAACTCTGTTTTCGGCTTATCAGGCTTATCAGCCAGCTTTTTCACCAAACACGTAACTTTTACTTTCGCGCGCTGAATTGTGTAATAAGCCGAAAAAGTAAGGTTGGAGTTACTTTTCTGGCTGTATTGGCTGAAGTTACTGTAGAGGACCATTTTAACTATTTTTACATATAATTTTTTCTTTAATTTATTAATAAAATATATTTTTAAAATATTTTTTTCTTAAATCAGCAGAATCAGCCAAAACAGCCACTCCAGCCAGAATATCATAAATTTCAGCAGAATCAGCCAAAACAGCCGATTTTGGTGCTACCAAACGGGCTCTAAACTACGCGACAGTATTTGATGGTTGGGGAAAAATATGTCCAGCCTTTCACATGTTGAGATGTCCTTATCCAGTGTTTTAAAAAGTTCGGGACTATTCTACTCAACTGCTCACATTGTTAAATTCAAATTGTAATGGTAGAAGTTTGGGTATGGATTCAGGTGAAAAAACAAAAAGCGCTGGTGGTCTTCTACTTAGTGGGCTAAAATTAGTTATTCCTACTTGGATGGCTAAAAATAATTCTTACTGATTGATTCATTTGGAGCTTGAAACCTTGGGATTGAGCCCTAGCAACCACATAAATGGATTTGGATTGTTATTGGCTCTCTTCTCTTTCCTTTTCAATGAAAAGCCTTGGAGAGAACTTGGTAAGACAGATTTTGCTTTAATAACTATGTCTATGAACAAAGTAAGTTTTTTTTGCACACATATCATATGTTCCTAACTTTTTAGTGTCGTAAGCACATTCTGGCAGTGATTCAAGGAAAGAGGAACTTCACGTGCCCTATACTATATACTTGTATAAGCCTACTAAAGACATTTCAAGGTTAAATTAGGGTAAAATTTATTTGGATTGACTGTAATGTTATGATTGAATGGCCTGAGTTGTTCAAAAAACGATTTACGGTTAAATGTAACCCGATTCCCGGCACCCGCCGTTGCTGGGGTTCGAGCGCATCGTCGCGGTCGTCGCCGTTTAACCGGGAAACCGGTTACTTACCGACCACAAGGGCTTAATTGAACGTTTTTTAATAGTTCGAGGACTTAATTGAGTGTTTGTAAGGTTCGGCATAGTACAGTGGCTTATTTGATAGTTTTCCCTCTAAACCAAGTGCAAAAGTGTCGTATCATTTCATCTTCTCCGGAAAAGATTCTTGCACTATGTTTTGTGTATTATTAGCGAATTGAACTATTGGAGTCAATTTTGTAAATACACCTGATAATATTGATATGCATAAACATTATTCTACCCATGGACAATCAAGGTGTGTATTACATATTAACATCTCTTATGTCTATTAATGTTGTTTTTGTTTATACCATGGAATAAAAACTTCACGTTATTGTGGTCTTCTCCTTGTGGGCATTTAAAAACTAGTCAAATATATATGAGCCAAAATATGTACTTCAATCAAAATATATACTCCATCCGTCACCTTTTAAATGTCTCGTTTTATCATATTGGGATGTCCATATTTAAATGTCTCATACCTTATTTGGTAAAGTTTGTGTGGCTCAAAATCATTTTTACTTTATTCTTACTTTATCAATTAATATCAACCACACAAACTCACTTTTCTTAAAATCCGTGTCACCCTCTTCCGGGACATTTAAAAGGGGACGGAGGTAGTACCTAGTATATCTATAAGCGAGAACAGGCAAAGGCCAGGCTAGGAGCCTATACATATTGTATAAAGCAATATGTATAGGCCAGGCTAGGAGAGCCTATACATATTGTATAAAGCATATTGTACATACTGTATAAAGCAATAGGAAATCAATCAGATACCCATCCCCACATGAGCACAATGTCGTCCATAGATGTATGATCCTAGCTACAAGTAATGCAAGTCACCATAATTATATTCCTCTGTTATTTATGAACAGCTAGGTAGCTGCGGTGGGATACTTGGTAGGGGAAACCAAGCTTTCAACATAAACATGCGCAGAAGAGCAGTTACTCAGTCCAGTGTACCTGCAACTCTTGTCTTTAGCATTGTAGACAAACAAGCTGTCAGAAGAATGGAGCAGCAACTCGCTCTTACTGAGCTTGTACAACGGTTTCATGTCCCCCCTCCTCACGAAAATTTTGAACATTTTAGACCAACTTTCTGATTGATGCTGCCGCTGCTGCTGCTTGTTCTTCATCAGAACCCAAAAACTTATTACTTTACTGTCAGAAGAATTAGAAACCAGACAAAGGCGTCCGTCCAGCACAGCCACCCTCAGGCGGGGAGCATCAGAGTGCGGTAAAAGCGGCTCTATTTCTTCATATGTCTCTGTCTTCACATCGACACAAAGAACACCCGCCACCGCCTTCCCTGAGCATTGCTTCCATTTTCTTCGCCCACAATTGTATATCATCGCCCAATAAAGCTTCCCATCCACAAATTTCCCTTTTCGAGACATCAACCTGCCCTCAATATCCTCCTCTATGCTCTTCCAAGTGTCAGTCTTGAGACTGTAAACCCTTGCTACTATTCTCTTAGATGCATCCCCACGGCCTTCAATGAGCTTCACTACCTTGTAATCACCGCAAGATTCGCCAAACCCAAATCCAATTTCATGATCATATGATTTCGGTTCCACCTCTGGGGCGGCCACATGGGGTACCATTTTGGATTCTCGAGTAGCCGGGTTCCACAGGATGACATGGTGGTCAGTAGCGAGACAAAGCAGCCCATTACACGAATCCACAATGGAAATCCTGTCGCAATCCACTTCCACTGGAAAAGGGATGGCCGTCTCACAAAAAGTTCGGCTACACAGGGCAGACTCCAAGCAGCAGTCCATGATCTGTAATGTGGATCTTGTCATGAGTTTTGTTAAAACTCTGGGCTTTCTCGGTCGGGATTGGATGAAATGGTCGCTGGAGATGAGGGAGAGCCACAATTTCGAAACGCACCTGAATTTTAAGACGGATTTAACGGGCAGCCATTGCAATATCTCAGCTATGATTTCCGGCGGCAAAGCGGGATGATGATTCATCATCATCATCATCAGTTGCTGCTGCTTCCCCACTATCAATCGATGCTTCAATTCACAGGAAGGAAGAGATCGAGTAATAAAAGTTTATGATCCCCACTATATATACGTACGGGCCGGGGGTGCCAAAGAGTTGGGGCCGGCCACCATTTATGAACTGAACTTGGTGTGGAAGTTTACTTGGAGCACACGCTAAAATACTTGTGCTAAAATACGTACAAGCAAACGCGCGTCCTTTGTGCACCACCACAATTGCACTCTTGGTCAAGGAAACTCGCGTAATACATCAATTCTGATGGTTTTCAAATTTGTCTTTTTTCATAAAGTTAAATCCCAAGGAAAAAATCAATACTCGTAAATTTCCTTAAATTAATTAATGGCGTCAGATTTCCTTAAATGTTTTTAGCTTTATACCTAAAAAATAATTACCTTTAAAGAATACTCCTAATCCTAATAGATTACAAATTCTAACTTCCACCAAATATATAAATAATAATAACGCAGTATAAACCGGTGGACGTAACTCAACTGGTAGCAAGGGGGTGTCACAAGGGTTAGGTCACGGATTCGAATCCCGACAACTACGATGAGAGGTTACTATGCTAAAAATTCATAGGGCCTCTGCAAGTACCGGGAACGGAGCCCCACCCTCTATCTGTCAGATTGTGATTATAGTCCAATTTACATTCTCTCATCGTGTCGTCCGGTCGGTGTTGGGGGCCCTCAGGGATGGGGGTGTCATCGTTTTTAATAATAACGCAGTATAATGCTCTTATAAGTTTTTTACAATCTTCTTATACAATGGAAAATGAATATGAAGTTTGTCTAGAAAATTGTACTCTTGACATTCATTCTTACTAGATTTACACCCGTGCGATGCACGGGACATAAATTCTTTAAATTATGTATAGATCCAGTATAATAAAAGTTATATATTGTGTAAAAAATAATATTATATAAAGATTAGATTGTATATGAAAATATAATTATTTTTGGATAAATCATACGGAGCATTAAGCAATGAATAGATGTTTATACAATGTTAATTTCGACCAAGTGTGTTAGTTCAAAGAGGAAGAAAACATACTTCAATGGCTTCAAAGATCGACAATCATGTAAATTAAAGAGAATTTACTCTAAATAGGACAAAAAAAACGTTTGTAAATTCCAAAATGGGACAGCCATGTTTTTAATTCCCAAAATGAGACTAATTACTGTCATGTTTTGGCAGTACCAGACTTCAAACATGGCAGTATTTTCCAAACTTGACAGTAATTACTCCTATTTTGGGGATAAAAACATGACAGTCCTATTTTGGAATTTACAAACATTTTTGGTCCAATTTCAGGAACTTTCCCTAAATTAAAAGCAATTTTGTGTGTTAAAGTTTTTAATTAAAATGAGCATACACATAGCAAGACCTTCATCAACTTAAGTATGCATATCAACATATGGGGTGTAATACAACCCACACGTATTGTTTTCAATGAAATTGATATTCTCTTGAAAGTTTGATTTATCGAACTATATCGATCTGAAATGCGCACAAAAAAACATATTCATTCTTGCGAGATCTGAGTTTCAAAGAAATTCACACGTAGTACAACCCAAGGAGAGATAGCAAGACTCGGTCTCGTGAAACAAAATCGAAAAAATTGTAGTGAAAGAGAGAACTTTTTTATACTACGTATTCTTATTAAATATGTGCTCTGCGGTCTTGCGTCTTCATACCGCGGTTTCTTTTTTTTTTTTTATGAAAAACACATGTAGCTTGCATACAGATTCCAAAGAAGCTTCCAGCGGGGTAGATCAAGTTGGTCAACTCTCCGAGCGGGCTCCGACGAAGATCTGGTTCCCCAAGTAAATCAGACCATCTTCGTTAAAGATATGGGCCCTAGCCTTGAACCTCACCGGCGGGCCACCGCCTGGTCGAACTTCACCCCATTCCGGCTAACAGCTACAGGAAGATGCAGCCCAACACGCCCAGCATCACCTACCTGTTGTAGATCACCTCCAGCTCTCGGTTCCTCGCAAATGTGTTCGGGTCTGTGGACAGACCTGCGGTATCCCATCCGTAGTCGCTTGGGAACTCATTTTTTATGTAGCTCGGAGCCTTCCTAAAGAATGGGCCTAAATACTTGACAATGTTGGGGCCGTACCACGGGCTAATGCACGGAACTCCACGGAAGTGAAGATCGGAAGCCACACTTTGTCGAAGTGGTTCTCGTCATAGTAATTTTGGGGGCCGCCTGGGACTTTCCGGTGGAGGGGAGTCCGAACGTAGGAATGAGAAGAGAGAGCCATTGTGGCAAAAGATGCCATTCCAATTGACATAGAAAGTGAGTAGCAAATAAAATTGCAGGGAGTCATTGAAGGTAGGTCGGGTTATTACCGTATTAACCACGAAGTGGATGGCAAAGCTTGTTTGATACTCTGTTTCCAATTGACTGATGAACATCCAATCCAATCACATACCCCCTGCTCTCTGTTCGGTGTCCAAGCTGAAGTCTTTATCTGTTAATCTTCTCCAGTGAGCTCGAGTACTTCTGTGAGGATTCCATCTCCTTTGAGAATTCTGGATCCAGCAACCATCTCTCCACCGGTTCACTTCCTGGCCGTAAGACGACGACATTCCGTGATGCCTAGGTCCAAAGCTAGCACCCCACCTATCCACATTAGGTTGAGGTCCTTCGTCGATCCAGATATTTCCGAGAATGATTACAGCAAGATGCTCGGCCGTTCCGAGACAGATTTCTAGCAAAAAAAAGTCGGACTCGCCTGTAGTTCCATGGCCGACGATCTCTTTCTCCTTCTACGCTCCACCTTACAGCATCTGAGCACTGCGCCAGGAGAACGACGCCCCTTGCTCAAGCCCTTTCATATTTCTCCATCTAGCTTATTTGATACTCTTTGAGCTACGGATAGACATTAGACAACTCTAATGCACCAGGTTCAAGGAAGGACAGAGCATTGGGCAGAGAGTGAAGTACCTTCTTAACCGGTTAAAGTTTGGATAAGGACACGGTTTTAACCTACGGATATCTTGTAAATGGTTTGTCCCACCTTTCCTCCATTTGATGTGACTTTTTTGAGCGGGAAAATAGTCAAAAACTCCACTTCTTTTTATATAAAGATAGATGAGGTACTCCCTCCGTCCCATTGGACTTTGCCAAGTTTTTTTTTTTGTTGTCCCAAAAAACTTTGTCACTTTCCCATTAAAGTAACTATTTTGTGCTTTTGCAGTTCTGCTCATTTTTCTCTCATCTACACAATCTTCAACCACACAATTTTTACTATTCTTATTTCTCACCTAACCTCAATCAGTGCAAAGTCCATTGTGACAGAGGTAATATTTTTAGGTTTAAATATGTTTTTAGTCCCTACAAACGTAGTACATTTTGTTTTACATCCCTGCAAAATTAATTTTTTATTTTCCGTCCCTGCAATTTATGCTAGTTTTCGTTTTAGTCCATCACTGATGATAAAAACCTTTGATTGACTTCAAAATAACCCTGACTAATACATTTCCTCTAATAATTTGTCATGTTATTAAAAAAAAATTATTTCATTTTTTTGAAGGCTTTTGATATATATTTTTAAAATGTGAATACTTAGTTTTAAATTATTTTTACTCTCATATTAGCATCAAAAAAATTATAAAAGGACAAATTTAAATATTTCTAGTAAATCTATGCAACCGGAAATAATTTTTTTCCTGAGTAGAGTGGTTTTGAAATTTTAGAAGAATTAAAACTAAAATGGTGCATATTACAGGGATGGAAAACAAAAAAAAATTACAGGAACCTAAAACAAAGTGTGCCATATTTGCAGGGACTAAAAATGTATTTTAGCCTATTTTGTATCTTCATTTATTTATAATAATCACTTCATCTTCCCCACTATTTGTATCTCAGTTTTTATTTTTGATCTGTTTCATTAAATTTATCGCATTCAATATTCGGCAATATTTGGGTGATCATATATACTATTCATTCATCTTTGTAATGGATATTCTATTTATTATATTATCATTCACAGTAATACAAAGTAACTATAATATACACTTTTTAAGATGTGTTTTTAATTTGACTCTATATGATCCCACACCAAACTAAACTACATGTAAATAGACTACATCAAACCATCTTTTGATATTTGTATGCCACACATAGAACATAAATCTAATATAACAGACCAGTTCAGACTAGACTAAACCAAACTTAAACAGATCAAATTGAATGACATCATACCAGATTTGATTAGACTAGAAAATTTTAATTCAATTAAAAACATCATTAATGGTAGTATAGTTATAAATTAATGTGTCATAATAAATGTATTCTTCTATATTTTAGAATGTTAATTTAATACTACGACATGGTCTTACCATCACGACGCTAGTGTTACTGGATGTGATACATCACTTCTTCGAATTAAACAGTTTAGAGAATGTCGTAATGTTATAAGAGACATTATATATTATAAGAACTTAAACTTTTTGCTTTTAACTTTGCAAAATTTTATATTGGATTATATATTTGAATAAGTAACAACATTTTTAATTCTAGTAAAGTAATTATCCTCATTTTTTATTTGTTTGACTAATTTCAAAGGTGGACGGTCCTGCCTTTTAAAACTCTATCGGCACCATGCTAATTCCGTATTATGGCCATATATGTCACATGATTAGATTTACGTTGTGAATGACATTTAAGATGTTTTTAATTGAACTGATTTTGATACAAATAAATTCAAACAAATCAAATCAGACTAGTTTAGATTTACATAATAGTAAATACACATTTATCGTCCGTTCACGAGAACTGATCTGTTTTTTAAATTTTTTTACATATATAATATTGGTGTCATATGAAAGCTCATAAAAATTATTTAATTTGATGTACCTTTTATAAAAATTGGAACAATAATGAAGATTTATAACATTTTATAAACAAAGAAGTATTTGCCCACTAGATAGTTAAATCCAGATCTGATCACAGTCAACTTTCGTCGGTACTGGTACCTCAGGACGAATCCAGCGTACTACCTTGCCCCTGAATCCAGAGGGTCCTCCCACCACGCGAACTCGAGCCTGGTCAGCATCCTCTCCCTTCTTAGAAGCTAAGCAACATTGTGAAGGTAGAAAGAATCATTGGGAGCAAGACCTTCATCATCTCCCTTAATGTGCCTAGCGGGTTTCGAACCCGAGTCCTCACACTAGTCACAGTAATCTCACATCCACCGGGTTGGAATGCTTGGTTAACATCAATTTTACTTCTTAGCAGTATGGAATAATTTGAATTTAATAATTAAAAGGGCAAGATTGTCAGAGCATGGTTACATTTAGTAATCAAGGGGGTGCACAAAGCAATCCCCTTTTAAAATAAGATTTATATTTTTAAATTTCTAGAATGTGAATAACATGACAATATTTAGGGGTTTTGACCCCAATATTACTAAAAGGTAGACAAAAGACAAAAAAGTGACCTTTTTGTTTAATTTTCAAAAATGTGACTAATAAGGATTAAGGTTACCAATTTACCCTTAATTTGCAGTGACTTTATTTTATAGTTACAAACCGGCCATAGTGACACCCATTACAGTGACACCCATTACAGTGACACGCATTGTAGTGACAGCTGACACAGTGACCATCGGCCTCTGTTGCGGGCCATTGACCACTGCCGCTGCCACCGGCCGGTAACTGCCACCGGTCACAGT